AGTTGACATGGAAAAAGTTATCGTGGAATTATTGGACTTTTCTCTAAAAGGTGGACGGTTAGAGTAAGTTGTTTTCGACGAATCCTTGAGAACTATGCAGTTCTTATGGAAGAGTGGGATGTTTGCTTTTCCGAACGATTACAACCCGATGTGCGTTCAAGGATAATAGGATGTAAGACCTAAATGGAACGATTTGACTTTTTCTTTGGTTTGCATCTTGGAGGGCGGCTTCATTCCCACACCGATAATCTATCTAAGGATCTTAAGGGTACCAAGGTGGCTGCTGTCAGTGGACAAGGCCTGACATTGGCATATCTAACAAAGGAGACGCTCAAAAAAATGCCCAGTGATCAAAGCTTCGACCATTTCTATGCTAATATTTGGCGCAAGAGCGAAGGCCTGCTTGGTAAACCAACGCTTCCACTGAGAGCGATGCACTTCGGCCAGACTGGAGGCTGGCGCTGGTGCACCAAGCTACCCTTAAACTGCCAAAGATCACTTTACATGGGTCTATTATGAGGCTGTTGATCTTATCGTCAGGGCTATCTATCAGGAAAGCTTCAGCTCCTACGCCCAGATGGAGACCCTCTTGATTAAAGCTGCTAATGGTGACGACTATGAGGCAGAGTTCAAGTCTTGAAGCATCATACAGAGAAGATGTTGATACAGGGGCGCTACCTGGGCATGCAACTAAGTATCTTGGAAGTTATGTTATAGGAGAAGATAGCATGTTTTGACGAAATCCTGTTGGCGGTGTCAAAGTTTCCAAAACAAAGACAAAGCCCAAACTATCTGTAAGGTGCCTGATGTAAATCCTGCAACCAGCGCTGTTGACAAGCGTTCATTGTCATCTGCACGGCGTCTGAAGACGTGGCTTCTATCCAGGATGGGTGACCTAGCAGTGTTGAATGGTCACAAGCGGAGAATAGACAGTGTCTCTATAGCTACACAGGAGTTTGTTTCCTGCAATAAGAACCACAAGAGAAGCTTCGGCACTTCGGGCAACTTCAAAAAGTAGCAACCTCAGGAGGTTTATTTAACATATTGGCTATATTGGATAGTATAACACGTGTGGACGTTTATGTTATATTTGTTGAGGTGGTTAATAAGGTGGCGCGCAAATGCAAGATAAATGGCGAAACACCGACCTGAATGTTTCTTTATATTGGCCAGAGTTTTTAGCCCTACCACCTTAAAATGGTCTCCGCGGTCTCTGCTACTCAGTAAGTTTTTTCCAATACCCGGACTGCAATTAAGATCAATTAGCAGACTCATCTCTTAGCTGGCAACCAAAAAGTTACAATCACCTTGTACTACATTTGAATTATACAACATTCTAAATCACAAAAGCACGGCGCGAAAGGAAGATTTTATAAAACCATGTTGAACAATGAACATATCTTTAAATTCGATGACAGCCGTCTCTTTCAGTTGAGGAAATACACTTTGGGGTTTCATCAGACGATTGTAACGTTTGAGTTACATATCGATACATACATCGTAAAAAAATCTTCCAAAAACTACGTGGTTGGGGGAATAACGCAAAAGGGAATAGGGAGAGTCTTCCCAATCTCCCAATTTTCCCGTTCTTCGCGCCTGCCAAGTTTTGCAAAAACCGCAAGTTTTCTCTTGTTGGTCGCATGGAAATTTAAGGTGAGGTAAAAAGGTATTCTGATGACTTAGCTAACAGTTATCTCTTTCTCCTCGTATGTTGTAAGTCTCTTTTATTTCCGTGTAAATGTACATGCATGTGTAGCGTACCCACACTGAGCTGCAGCTGCCTGCTTCGAAAAGCGTTTGCTTAATGTAGCTGTTGTGTATGTGTTTTGTATTTATTTTCTGTCAATAAAAGTGTTGTTGTTAATATGTTGTTATATTACTAGTAGTCCTTGTGTGATTCTCATCTGGCTATGTGTTTTCTTGGTTTCTTCATGGTCATTCACATTGTCCTCATTCAGCTGCTTCATGGTATTCCCAGACGTTAAATGTCCGAGTATTTTGTATGAAGACTGGACGAAATGCAAGCTGGTCGTCTCATATTACAGGTGAGTGGTTACAGTTCAACTCCTTTGTTATGCTTGTTTCCCTGTGGGCTGCTTAAGGATTCTTACTTGTTGTATTGTAAAAAATATTTCATGTGTTTCTGTCCCTACTAATTTCTGGGTCACCAGTAATTTTGTCCCCCCTCTTCAAAAAGAGTGTTTGATATAACTTTAAATTTAAACAAATCTCATAACTTACTTTGGTCATTGATATGATGATTGATATGATGCCTAGAAACAAAAAATGTGCCGTGATGTCAAATTACTGTATGATGTCATGGCGGACACCATCAGATATATACCAGTACAGGTGGACGCTGCGAGTTTGCCGCTTGCTATGATCCAGCTGCAGTCCATACACTGCACACGTGCTTCGCGTGTGAAAAGATTATAAACTCACTTCGTTCAAAATTAGCTTTAGCTTGTTAGTTAATGGGGCTGCCTCAAGGCATGCACAGTTTGTAAATTCTGTTCTGCACTGCACTATTAATTTATTAACCTGGTAACCCAGAAGGTGTTGTGTGTTTCCATAAATCATATTTGCAGGGCAAGGCAAGGTTTGGTGACTTAACTTCGTAGAGCTTACAGTATTGTTCTTATCTTGGCCCAGAGGGTTCTGTATCATTAAATTTGTGCATATTGACTTGCTATCATTTGTTATCAGTGTCATGCTTATTCTCAATACTGTGTCTCCATCCATTCAGCAAGAACAATTATCGATGTTAGCATTAGCTTGTTTCCGGGAAAGTTTACAGCTTGCTTAAAGATTCTTGCCGTACATACCTTTTTATGGAGGTGTAAACTAAAGCCTAAATGGGAACATAAATAAGCTAGTTGATTTAATACGCATGACACAGCTGACCCGTATTTTACTGAAGGTGTTTTGTACACAAATACTTATGTGTTAGTAGCAAGTTCAGTGTATTGTGAATGAACCATAGGGTTGTAATAAATGTTTAGGTCAATCATTGTGCATTGAGATGAATTGCTTGAACAAAAAACAATTTGAGGGTTTGTGTGACCACAATTTACATGACCTACTTTTTACAACCTTACACCGAGAGGATATTTATTTAACTTTACGTACTTGAATTGGCCTTTGAGCTGCAAGACCTTTACTCCAATTTTTTGTATAAGCAATAATTTGTTTGATACATGTAATTCAAATTAACCTAATGACCATTTCCTTACAGAAAGATGAGCCGTTGGCAGATGATTTGAAGTCAAAAGCTTAGTTGGGGAAGCCACTGGAAGGAGATCAAGGAAAAGAAACCAAGAAACTTTACTTCCGTGTCCAGGTCAAGTCACAAAGATGAAAATGGAGGAAATAACAACATAAAGGAAAGGTAATGAGATTGTGTTTATAAAAAGAAGATGCCCTGAATGATCTGGTGATAAATTGAGTCAGTTAAGATGCCTATGCATGTAGCTGTTACGGATCACACACAACCAAAAGTATTTCATTCAAGGCTAAGTTCAGTCCCAATTGTTTTACGTAGGTTAATTGTAAAGACTAAGTTAATGACAGTCAGCCGATGATGTCATGACTTGACAGAATGACAGACTGACTGAACAAAAATGGAAGGATGTGAGGAACAACTTGCGAGAGGGATGAAAATGCATCAGTGAATCACACCCAACAGTATTATGGCTTAACCAAAAGATGACCAATGATGGCATCACAACTGATTTTGTGCCATGAGACTAGGACTTTGCTCTAACAGGACCTGTTGGGCATTGCCAATATTTCATACCCCTCTAGTACAGAATTTTAGTTTTTGCACAGAACTTTGTTCACTGGAGACTCTTAAGTTCATAGATTCAGAGATTAAGTGCTTCCTACAGTTTCATCAGAGTTGACTAGCTTACAAAAATAAATTTCTTTTGTGGCTGACTTGGGCAACAAATCTTGCCAGTTACTGATCCACACTAATATTTTGAGAAAGATGTGCTTATTATCATGATATTAAACCTGGTGAATTGTTTATTTTTGCAGACAGGGAGCTGTGTTGGGTTGTAAAAAAATAATGAGGAAGAAAAGAAGAATGCACGAAACGTACTATTTATTAGGTTAGATGATCTTTTTTGTATCAGTTTATTTATGTTTATATTTTTGCATATGGCATTTGCAAATCCGTACTACAAACAAAAACCTCAGATAAACATAATTATCTACATTGTGCTCTGTGTGTCTGGATGAACCAAAAGCTTGGTAAAAATTGATTGCATTGTGCATAAAAGCCAAGTAAGTAACTAATAATATTATTATCTTACGGTCGATTTACTGTTCACTTATATGAACTTGGGATGATATTTTTTAAGGCAAACGCCCTTGAAATCATTGGAAATAAAGGAAGACATGAAGAGAAAGTAGTGTTGGACAAAATGAGGTAAGAGATTTGATAATAAACTTTTTACATAATGCTCCAAGAATTGGCTTGGCATCTGGAGACATCATTTTACCATATGTAGACATCATTCACAATCACTAGACATCATTCACCATCAGTAGACACCATCCACAATCCCTAAACGTTATTCACCATCAGTAGACATCATTCACTGCCAATAGACATCATTCACTGTCAGTAGACACCATCCACCATCAGTAGACATTTATTCACCATCATTAAACATCATTCACCCTCACTAGACATCATTCACCATCAGTAGACATCATCCACAATCACTAGACATTATTCACCATCAGCTGACATCAGTCACCGTCAGTAGACATCTTTCACCAACAGTACACGTCATTCACCATCAGTAGACATCATCCACAATCACTACACATTATTCACCATCTGAGTAGACATCATTCACCGTCAGTGAACACCATTCACCATCTGTAGACACCATTCACAATCACTAGACATCATTCACCATCAGTAGACGTCATTCACAATCATGAGACAGTATTCACCATCTGGAGACATCATTCACCGTCAGTAGACATCATTCACCATAAGTAGACATCATTCACTGTCAATAGACATCATTCACCATCAGTGGACATCATTCACCGTCAGTAGACATCATTCACCATCAGTAGACATTATTCACCATCAGTAGACATCATTCATCGTCAGTAGACATCATTCACCATCAGTAGACATTGTTTACCATCAATAGACATCATTCACCATCAGTAGACATTTTTCAACATCAGTAGACATCATTCACCATCACTAGACATCATCGACAATCACTAGATGTTATTCACCATTAGTAGACATCATTCACCGTCAATAGACATCATTCATCATCAGTGGACATCATTCACCATCAGTAGACATCATTCACCGTCAGTAGACATCATCCACAATCACTAGATATTATTCACTGTCAGTGAACATTATTCACCATCAGTAGACATCATTTACCATCAGTGAACATCATTCACCATCAGTAGACATCAGTCACCGTCAGTAGACATCATTCACTGTCACTTGACATCACTCACTATCTGAGACACCATCGGTAGACATCGTTTACTGTCAATAGACATCATTCACCATCAGTAGACATTTTTCAACATCAGTAGACATCATTCACCATCACTAGACATCATTCACCATCAGTAGACACCATCGACAATCACTAGACGTTATTCACCATCAGTAGACATCATTCACTGTCAATAGACATCATTCACCGCCAGTAGACACCATCCACCATCAGTACACATCATTCAGTATCAGTAGACATTTATTCACCATCATTAAACATCATTTACCATTAGTAGACATCATCCACAATCACTAGACATTATTCACCATCTGAGTAGACATCATTCACTGTCAATAGATATCATTCACCATCAGTGGACATCATTCACCGTCAGTAGACATCATTCACCATCAGTAGACATCATTCACCATCAGTAGACATCATTCACTGTCAATAGACACCATTCATCATCAGTGGACATCATTCACCGTCAGTAGACATCATTCACCATCAGTAGACATTATTCACCATCATTAGACATCATTCACCGTCAGTAGACATTATTCACCATCAGTAGACATCATTCACCGTCAGTAGACATCATTCACTGTCACTTGACATCACTCACTATTAATTTTGAGACATCATCCACAATCACTAGACATTATTCACCATCAATGATATCATTTTACCATCTACAGACATCATTCGCCATCAGTAGACATCATTCACCGTCACTAGACATCATTCACCATTACTAGATATCATTCACCATAGTAGACATAATTCACAATCACTAGACGTTATTCACCATCTAAAGACATCATTCACCATCACCAGACATCATTCACCATCAGTAGACATCATTCACCATCAGTAGACATCATTCACTATCAGTAGACATTATTCACTGTCACTTGACATCATTCACTATCTGAGACATCATCCACAATCACCAGGCATTATTCACCACCGGTAGACATCGTTTACTGTCAATAGACATCATTCACCATCGGTAGACATTTTTCAACATCAGTAGACATCATTCACCATCACTAGACATCATTCACCATCAGTAGACACCATCGACAATCACTAGACGTTATTCACCATCAGTAGACATCATTCACCATCAATAGACATCATTCACCATCAGTGGACATCATCTACCATCAGTAGACATCATTCACCGTCAATAGACATCATCCACAATCACTCGATATTATTCACCGTCAGTGAACATCATTCACCATCAGTAGACATCATTTACCATCTGTACACACCATTCACAATCACTGGACATCATTCACCGTCAATAGACATCATTTACCGTCAGTGGACATCATTGACCGTCAGTACACATCATTCACCATCAGTAGACATCGTTCACGATCAGTAGACATCATTCATCATCAGTAGACATCATTCACCATCAGTACACATCATCCACAATCACTAGACATTATTCACCGTCAGTGAACACCATTCACCATCTGTAGACACCATTCACAATCACTAGACATCATTCACCATCAGTAGACGTCATTCACAATCACGAGACAGTATTCACCATCTGGAGACATCATTCACCATCACTAGACATCATTCATCATTACTAGATATCATTCACCACAGTAGACATAATTCACAATCACTAGACGTTATTCACCATCTAAAGACATCATTCACCATCACCAGACATCATTCACCATCAGTAGACATCATTCACCATCAGTAGACATCATTCACTATCAGTAGACATCATTCACTATCTGAGACATCATCCACAATCACCAGGCATTATTCACCATCGGTAGACATCGTTTACTGTCAATAGACATCATTCACCATCGGTAGACATTTTTCAACATCAGTAGACATCATTCACCATCACTAGACATCATTCACCATCAGTAGACACCATCGACAATCACTAGACGTTATTCACCATCAGTAGACATCATTCACCATCAGTGGACATCATCTACCATCAGTAGACATCATTCACCGTCAATAGACATCATCTACAATCACTCGATATTATTAACTGTCAGTGAACATCATTCACCATCAGTAGACATCATTTACCATCTGTACACACCATTCACAATCACTGGACATCATTCACCGTCAAAAGACATCATTTACCGTCAGTGGACATCATTGACCGTCAGTACACATCATTCACCATCAGTAGACATCGTTCACGATCAGTAGACATCATTCATCATCAGTAGACATCATTCACCGTCAGTACACATCATCCACAATCACTAGACATTATTCACCGTCAGTGAACACCATTCACCATCTGTAGACACCATTCACAATCACTAGACATCATTCACCATCAGTAGACGTCATTCACAATCACGAGACAGTATTCACCATCTGGAGACATCATTCACCATCACTAGACATCATTCATCATTACTAGACATCATTCGCCGTCAGTAGACATCATTCCCCATTAGTGGACATCATTTACCGTCACTTGACATCACTCACTATCCGAGACATCATCCACAATCACTAGACATTATTCACCATCAGTAGATATCATTTTACCATCTGCAGACATCATTCGCCATCAGAAGACATACCACGCCAGTAGACATCATTCATTGTCAGTAAATATCATTCACCATCATTGGACATCATTCACCATAAGTAGACATCGTTCGCCATCAGTAGACATCATTTACTGTCACTAGACATCATTCCTTATGAGTAGATTTCAGTCACTATCAGTAGACATCATTTACCAACGCTGGGCATCATTCACCGTCACTAGACATGATTCCCAGTCAGTTGCCATCAATAGACATCAATCACTATGATTGGACACCGTTCACTGTCTAAAGACATCATTCACCATCACCAGACATCATTCACCATCAGTAGACATCATTCACCATCAGTAGACATCATTCACTATCAGTAGACATCATTCACTGTCACTTGACATCACTCACTATCTGAGACATCATCCACAATCACCAGGCATTATTCACCATCGGTAGACATCGTTTACTGTCAATAGACATCATTCACCATCGGTAGACATTTTTCAACATCAGTAGACATCATTCACCATCACTAGACATCATTCACCATCAGTAGACACCATCGACAATCACTAGACGTTATTCACCATCAGTAGACATCATTCACCGTCAATAGACATCATTCACCATCAGTGGCCATCATCTACCATCAGTAGACATCATTCACCGTCAATAGACATCATCCACAATCACTCGATATTATTCACCGTCAGTGAACATCATTCACCATCAGTAGACATCATTTACCATCTGTACACACCATTCACAATCACTGGACATCATTCACCGTCAATAGACATCATTTACCGTCAGTGGACATCATTGACCGTCAGTACACATCATTCACCATCAGTAGACATCGTTCACGATCAGTAGACATCATTCATCATCAGTAGACATCATTCACCGTCAGTACACATCATCCACAATCACTAGACATTATTCACCGTCAGTGAACACCATTCACCATCTGTAGACACCATTCACAATCACTAGACATCATTCACCATCAGTAGACGTCATTCACAATCACGAGACAGTATTCACCGTCTGGAGACATCATTCATCATCACTAGACATCATTCATCATTACTAGACATCATTCGCCGTCAGTAGACATCATTCCCCATTAGTGGACATCATTTACCGTCACTTGACATCACTCACTATCCGAGACATCATCCACAATCACTAGACATTATTCACCATCAGTAGATATCATTTTACCATCTGCAGACATCATTCGCCATCAGAAGACATACCACGCCAGTAGACATCATTCATTATCAGTAAATATCATTCACCGTCATTGGACATCATTCACCATAAGTAGACATCGTTCGCCATCAGTAGACATCATTTACTGTCACTAGACATCATTCCTTATGAGTAGATTTCAGTCACTATCAGTAGACATCATTTACCAACGCTGGGCATCATTCACCGTCACTAGACATGATTCCCAGTCAGTTGCCATCAATAGACATCAATCACTATGATTGGACACCGTTCACTGTCAGTAGACATCCTTCGTCGTCATTAGAGGTCATGTTCCTTCACTAAACATCATATCCCATCACCAGACATGATTCACCGTCAGTAAACATTACTCAACATTACTAGACACCTTTTTCTGTCATAAGATATCATTTATTTACCGGTAATAGATATCGACTACTATCACAGGAGATATGTTACCATCAGTGGACATCATTCACCTTCACCAGGCATCATACACCATTGCTAGACATCATTAGGGTCACTAGGGTCACTAGCGTCACAAGAAATTATTCAGTGTCATTACTGTTCATTCACGGTCACTACACGTCTTCGAGGCTTGTAAGGGTCACTAGACATCATTCAGCGTCTTTAGACATCAGTCAGCATCACAAGAGATAATTCACTGTCACTGGACATCATTGACCGTGACTACACATTATTCGCCGACATGAAACATCATTCACCTTTACTAGACATCATTCAGTGACACGCATGGTTATTATTTAGCGTCCCTAGATAGTGGAGATTATTCTCCATCACTACATATCATTTGCCGTCAGCGACAAATTTCACCATCATTAGATATCGTTCTCCGTCATTAGACATCATCCTCCATCACTGTCCATTATTTGTCGTCACTATACTTTGACCATAAGTAGACATTATTGCCTGTGACAAGACATTATTTATCATTGCTAGATATGAGTAACCATCAGTAGACATCATTCGTTGTCATTAAACATTATTCACCATCTTCCTACACATCATTCAACGTCACTATACACCGTTCACTGTCAGACACATCATCGAGCGGCATTAGACATCCTTCACGGTCACTAGATCATTGGTCATCACTACACATCAGTCAGCGTCACAAGAGATAATTCACCGTCACTGGACATCAATGACCGTGACTACACACTATTCGCTGTCATGAAACATCATTCTCCTTTACTAGACATCATTCAGTGACACGCATGGTTATTTTTCAGCGTCCCTACAGATTGGACATTATTCTCCATCACTTCACATCATTTGCCTTCACTGACAAATTTCATCATCATTAGATATCGTTCTTCGTCATAAGACATCATTCTCCATCACTGCCCATCATTTGTCGTCACAATAATTTGACCATAAGTAGACATTATTGCCTGTGACTAGACATCATTTACCGTTGCAAGATATGAGTAACCATCAGTAGACATCATTAGTTGTTATTAAACATTATTCACCATCTCCTAGTCGTAGGCATCATTCAACGTCACCATACATCATTCACTGTCACGACACATTATGGAGAGGCATTAGACATCCTTCAGGGTCACTAGATCATTGGCCATCACTACACATCATTCATCTTCATTAAACATTATTTATCATCGCTAGACATCATTCAAAGGGTTACGCACTAGACATTATTATTTTGGTGTCACCAGGCTGCATTCATCGTTACTACACATGATTCACCGTCATTAGATATCAGCGTCAGTATACAGCATTCACCGCCAGAAAACTTTCCCGTAGTCTCCACACTCACTCACGGGACTGTTTGGATTGGGAACTATGGGATGGCAAACGGGAAATATCGTGATTTGTTAAAGATGACACAGGCCAATAAAATTAGTCTTCTATCAGGCGCACCTCGGGAACAAAATGGAGCCAAAAATGCTGGGAGATAATGTATAATTCCTTGTTACGATATACTTTTGAATTGAAGTGATTTTCCTTTCCGTTGTTGTCGTCCTTAACGTTATTATTACAGAATCATACAAATGCAAGTTAGCGATTATGATATAATCATTTATACGACACTTAACTTAACCTTAGTCATACCATTGTGACGCATCCTCTACAATGTCCATTCACTTACTTTTCACATCCTGACACCAAGAGAGGACATTAATTTAACTTTATTTACGTGGCATTTTAGATGCGAAACTTCACTTTTATAGTTTGTTTGATAATCCAACCTTATGACGATTTCCTTGCAGGAAGATAAGCAATGCAGACGATTTGACCTGAAAACTGAGCCTTGGAAGCCATGGAAACGAAATCAAGGAAAAGAAACCAAGAAACCTCACTCCGACGGAGCAAGTCACAAAGAGGAAATAGGGGAATGAACATCCTAAGGCAGAGGTGGGGAAGATTAGGTTATATAATTCTGTGTTAATAACCAAGATGGCCTGAATGAGCAGCCACGTTAATTTTGCTCCTCTTTATCAGGTGTGCTTGCGTGACCTAGTGGGTAAGTTCTTTTCCTTTAAATTGAACACTTTACGACCGCTTGTCTCCTGCTGCCCTTTAAGTTAATTTGAGTGATTTATGGAGGGAGCTCAGTCTCCGGTTGAATCTCCGTTGGCGGGTGGTTTTGCGTTTTTTTCTTCATCATCTCAGGGAACTTTTGACTTCATTTTTTCCTGGAATTTTTTTCTTTCTTTTAAGCAACCAGAGAGTTAATTCCTCATTTTTGAATTCTTTGGTTCTTTAAAAGAAGAAAAAAAGAATCCAGGAAATAATTATAGTCAAATTTTTCTTAAGAAGATGAAGGAAAAAAAAAGCAAAACGGCCCGCTAACGGGGGTTCAACCGGGGGCTGAACCCCCTTCATAAGTCACTCAAATTAAATTAAACGGCGGCAGGGGGGAAGCGGCCGCCTTGTGTTTAATTTAAAGAAAGTGAACTTATCCACTAGGCCACGCAAGCGTTGCCTGAGAAAGAGGAGTAAAATTAACCTAGAAGTAGGTAGAGGCTCTATTGTTTCACAGAATAACGTTGATTAGTCAAATTTTTTATTCATATCCCGTGCAGAATGGTAGTCCGTGACAATACTGAAATGGAGCCTTGTAAACTATGGATTTTTAGCTGGTAAACAACATTCAATATCAGGGAAATGAGCTTTGACATGAATTCTCTCTTCTTTTTCTAGCCATCCATTCAGATTACAAGAGGAGAGCAGATCCTGAAGATTCTTTTAAAGAAATCTTATCAAACATTTGTAAAGACGGCGTAATAAAGTTTATTTTGGTTGTTTTTTAGAACGTAGGATAAACAAGTATTGGAACGACTAGTTGACAACAGAAACTAGTATTTAAATACTGTATGAAAGTAGTGAAATTAATTTGAAACTACTTGCATACAGTATTCAAAT